CGAAGTCCTCACCTTCTCTGTGCCCCACTTTCCTCCTTGTACAACAGGGACCCTAACCACCTTGTCCCAGGCCATGGCTCAGAGGCACTGCAGAGAGCACAGGGTCAAGTCCAGCTCTGGCCAGCCTCTGTCTGTCATCTATGAAATGGGCCCACTGTGAGAATGACCCATTCACCACAGCTGGCACTTCCAGGAGGACGGGCTCATGGTGTGCTGTGCACACATCTCAGCTCCCTGCCGCCACAGCTCCACCTCTAACCCTCTGGACAAAGCCGTAAACTTTGGGCAGTGGGATTCCTGTCCCGATGCCGGTGATCTGTTAAGCCACAGAAGTTCCTTTCACCAGCTGCTGTGGGCAGAGGGTGTGCCAGGGGACAATCTTGCTGACAGCCGCTGTCCTGGATGGCACTCGGTCCCTGGAGCCTTTCCTGAACATCGTCGCTGGGTTGAGGCCAGTTTCTCTGGCTTTTGAATTGCCATTTACAATGACTGCTGCTTACAGAGGAGGTGAAGAAACGCGTTTGAGGACAGAAAGCTCCTCCCTGCAACTCCCAAAGCTTGCCTGCTCTGGGTGGCCCCCTAAGGACGGGGAAGAGGCTGGGCAAGGGAGCAAAGTCCCGGGTGCTGTGTCACGCAGGGCAGTGTCGCTGAGCTTCTGAAGTCCTTTAGAAACAGTGGGTGTTTTCGCCAGCCACACCCCACGGGCAGGAAGAGGCTCAGTTCACTGGCCAGCAGGCAGCACATGCAGGGTGACAGCCATTTGGTCTCTCCCCTCCCTCCCAAGTGGCAGAAGCCCCAGCCCTGGGGCCTCAGAACCTCTGCTGTGCCCTCCCCATGGAGGCTCTTGCTGGACCTGAGCTCAGCGGGGCCCTGGCTGTGGTCATCAGCCCTGGCCCTTTCTGGCAGCCTGTCCCGAGGCATCCAAGCCCCTCACTCCTGTCACCACATTAGCATAAACTCATCAGGGCATGTCAAGGGTTGGGAGCTCTGTGCCTGGACCCAGGCGAGAGCCCGAATGCACAGGGTGCTTAGGATGGGCTAGGAGGGGACAGCGGAGGACAACAGGAAGGCACACGCTCTGCTGTCTTGGGGCGATGTGCTACGCTCTGGGAGGTTGCAGCCTGGAGGTTGCCCAGGGGCCTCCCACCAGCGCCTGGCAGATGGTCCCCGAGAACCTGAGTGGCCTCAGCTGTGGGGTGTGTGGCTGGCCAGGCCTGGCCTCCCGTTTCACAGGAAGGAGAGGGACATGCTGCCCTCAGCCCTGTGGCACAGGCAGGTGGACTTAGGTCCCCGACACCACTACACGGCCTCCCAGACTAGAGACCTCAGTCCCCAGCTGACCAAGTGCCCCGTCCAGCCTCAGAGGAGGCAGCCCTGCCAGGCACAGTGCCCCAGTGACAGTGGCGCTGCTTGGGAGTCACAATACCCTTTGGGCCTCGGTTCTCCGGTCTGTAAAGCAGGACCATCACACCCACCTCCCAGGGACAGACTGACACCAAGGACGCCTTCCCCAGGAGGGGGGGTAGGCACATGCACCCAAAGCCGTGACCCAGGGTCAGGCTTGTACCCTGCTGAGACCGCACCACAGGCTACGGTTGATCTGGGTTCCAGACCAGTGTAGACGCCTTTGTCAGGTTCCCTGCTCAGGTAACTTTTTTTTTTGAATCGGTACCAGGGATCAAACTCACGATCACAGGCTTGCAAGGCAGGCGCTTTATGCCGCTGAGCTAAATCCCAGCTCCTCAGGTAACTTGTTAACAATCCGGCATGGTGGTGTAGGCCGTTGGGATCCAATGTGCTGTTTCTCTCCTTCCATCCGTGGCACAGCACAGGTCCCCAAAGTTCTCTGCTGTAGCCGACCTCCGGACCTTAACTTCTGCTGTTTCCTCAACCAGAATTCCTTTTCCATCACTGGAAACCAATTCAGCTTTGGTCACCTGTCCAAGTCCCTTGGGGCCCACAGAGGAAGCACCTAAACCTATGTCCTGGTGTCTTCCTCTTTAGTCTGCACACTCAGCCCCATTAAATAACTTTGTGCCCCAGGTGTTAGTTTTCTGATCTGTAAAATGGGAGTTCCAGACTCATACACTGGGCCTGGCTAAGGGTCTGTGAAGGCTGATGCTTTGTGAGCACGAGCAAAGCTTGGACAGTGTTACGATTTTACTGTGCTCCAATCTTCATGTGACTGTCCCCCCACCCCAGATCCTTCCCCGCTGTGTGGTCCTCTCATGGGTCGTGACCTTTTAATGTAGGACCCGGAATGAGGATTCCCGTGCCTGGTTCTCTGCAGGATCCCTTACTTCTCCACGAACCTGAGCTCTGGGGGCTTGCACCTACAGGTGGGAATCCATGCTTATTCTGTGGCTTTGAGGGTCCTTTCTCATAGATCACCTTGGCCTTTCATATGTGGAGAGCCTGAAAACCCTGTTTTTACCCTAAAATTCGCACTCAGGGTTCTTCCCAGCCCACTGCGGGGCTCTATGGACCTTGGCCCCCCCAGTAAAAACCCATGGGAGGACAGTGCCTGTTCCCCATCTCAGCCAGGCATTCTACAGAGAACAGATGAAATAAAGCCGGAATCTATTCGAGGTGCGCCCAGTACTGGGGCAACAAGGACCAGCCCACGGGGCCACCCTGAGGCAGGTGCATGTGTGTGTGTAGCTCAGGGCAACTGACTGCTGGGATAGGGACTCCAGGAGTAGTTCAGCGCCTGGGCCACTCCAGTCTCCCCAGGGAGGGAGACACACTGCCTTGCTGGCTCCTGAGCTCACACCATGTGGCACCAACCTCTGGGTCTCCCTGTTGTGTTACCCATAGTGCAGCTGGCTGTTCCTACCCAGAATGCCGCTCTCAGCCTGCTTGGGTTCACTGGGGCCCTGACTCCCTCCTTACCCCAGAAAGTGCCTGCTCTATCCGATGCCCAGACTCCAGGTGGCTCCGGATCCAGGGATCAGGAAACAACTGTCACCTTTGTTAGAAGATGCATGGCCCCACTGCTAAGTCAGGGCTGCCTGGTGACCCCCAGGGGATCAGGAATTTCATGGAGAAAGGAGGGGACGTTTCTCCCAAAAAGCATTTAGAGTGAATTCTGGAGGACCAGGAGGGCTTTTAAAAAGCTGGTGACAAGGGCGTTCCAGAGGGAAGTCTCAGCCCAGGCTGAGGCAGGGAGGGCCAGTGGGCAGGGCCCAGGGCTCCCTCCCGGTTGGGTACAACCTGGAACCTTGGTTGCTGAGGCAGGAAGTTGTAACAGAAAACACAGCGTGGGCAGAGGGTCACCATCACAGATCATCGCTGTGACCCACATTAATGAATGAAAACGGGCACAGGATGTTGTGGAGTCTCCGCTGAGAGGGACTCACCGCCTTCCTCTAGCGCACATCTGTGGGTCCATGTGGGTCAGGAGTGACTGCAGTGTCCTCTCTGTGGGTTTAATCACTGTAGGTGGCGATGATGATGAAATTACCTGCATTTTTACCAAAATGCCCAGTGATAGCTGGGGTCCTGCAAAGGCGCCAAGTGGGGGCTGTAGCTCCATGGCCTGGCACGGGACACCCTGCCTTCCGTCCCCAGGAGGCTACAAACACAAAACAAAACCCAACCACAGGAAGTAGGGGGGACACCACCAGGAGCCGGGTTGACCCCAGGAGTTGTGGGGAGCGTGAGCCCCCTCAGGCTCTGTCCTGCATCTCCAGGAAACACTAAATGGATCATAACCACCCGGAACATGCGTTCCTGTTGCACGCCGTAACAAAGCTGACACTGTCTGAAGTGTAGGCACCGGGAAGGGATAGGCAGCCCTTTATATTTGGGGAACTCCCTTGGAAGTCATTTGTGACAAAGGTCCCAGTGGAGGTAGAACATCACTGTGGGCCTGGGGCAGAATCCGGGCTTCGGGTACCGGGGTTCCACCGATTCCTATGCCAGTAGGAGAGACCGTGCTGAAAGGGGCGTTTCGGGGCGCACGCGTCTAGCCATCTTTTCACGTCCAGGAGGAACGCGAAGATGTCACTCATCCTTCAGACCTTTACTCTGAAGCAGGACGAGCCCTTTCGGGCAGCGCCTTCCGCCCACACCAGGGGGCTTCCGACCCGGACGCTGTCTCCGACGCGCCCCCTCCAGGGCGGCGATGTGCGTCCCAGCCTGGGAGTTTGGAAATGTGATCCCCACAAGTTGTAGCTATGATGTTTCTGCCACATTGATTGGGCGTGTTTACGGTTTCTAACAACAGTCTTTAAAAGTCCGGTGACATCTCTTGAGAGTTTGAGTGTAAAAAGGAAGTCATTCAGGGAGCAGCCGAGAGATCGGCTTCCTCACTGTTTAAGCAGCAAGGTGCCCCCCCCCCCCCCCCCCGGCCACAAGACTGAATTTGTCTAAGTCGCAGCGCTCGGTGCCGACCCAGGCGGGACGCAAGATTAAAACGAACAGAAGAGGAGCAAAGGAAGCAAAGGCGCAGAGCGAGCCGGGAGAAAAAGGGCATGGTGTCCAGCGGGGAAGGGGAGCCCCGCGGGGGATCTGCCGCGGACGCAGATGAGGACGTCGTGGGCGCCTGCAGCTCGAGTGGGTCCGGATTTCGCGCCCCTCTAGGCTGACACTTTTGTTCTCCGCTCGGGGCGCCCGGCCTCGGAGGAGCGGCAGTGCGCACGCGCGGGTGGGGCGGGAGGTGGGCGGGGCAGCGGGTAGGCGGGGCGAGCGGTGGGCCCCGGCCCCACACCCCCGCCGCCCCGGCCCGCTCCATCCGGGCACTGCCGAATTAGCATCGTGCCGAGGCACAACTTTGCCGAGGCCCAGCGAGATCCAGGCGCGCGCGCCGGAGGAAATATAGTCCCTGCCGGCGGCGGGGCGTGCGTGGGGTGTGCGGGGCTGCGGGCGCCGGGAGGCCATGCGCCAGGCCGCGCCCGCAGCCCGGGGACCCGGCGCGAGTCGCCGGGCGGCCTGAGGAGTTGGGTGGCCCGGGCTCGGCGCCCGGCCGCCTTTCTTACCCCTCGCCAGCCCCGCTGCACGGGGCCGTGGAGTGAGGGTCTGGGGTCCCCCACCGCCGCCGCAGGAGTCCCGATCCGTTCCCGCCGGGCCCGGGCCCCCGCCGAGCCGCACAACTTCCCGGGCGCCGGGGCCAAAGTGCGCGCAAAGTGCTGCCCAAGTTCCTGCGATGGAGCTGCAGAGCCGGCCCGAGGCGCGCGCCGCCGAACTCTCCCGCCACCAGGTAGGGGCCGGGCGGGGGTGCGGGGCGGGGCGGGGCGGGGACTGGGGAGGGGCGCTCCCGAGCTGCGAGCCCCGCGTCTTCGCTCCCCGAGATCGCGGGGTCTCCGGGGCCGGGGCCCCACCTCTAGCGCCCCCCGGGGGCTGGGAAGTATGCTCGGCACTCACTTTTTGTCCCCTGCGCCCCAAACTGCGATGCCGCACCGTGGGTTCAGGGGCACGGGGGCCCGAACCCAGCTTTTCCCGTCCTTGCCCCGGGGTTTGCGCTGCGCTGCTTGGGTGCACGAGTGGACCCCACGGGAGCTCTCCCGGGAGATCATGGAGACCCCCTCAGTTTCCCTGGTCCCCACGCCCGCACACCTCGCTCTGTGCAAAGTAGTTTTGGCCGGGCGGGTGGCGGCGGCGTGGCGCCCGGGGCCCGAGCGGTGTTGCGGCGCGCGCGGGTGTGTGTGTGTGTGTGTGTTGGGAGATTAGGACGCGACTTGAATATTTATGAGCTTTGCTCGACACGGACTCGCCGTGTTTACTTGGCTCTTTGTTCCTCCCCCCTCCCCTGGCACACTCTCACACTCACACTCACTCGTGCACACGCACCCTGGCCTGCGCGCTTGCCCGGCTCGGGGCGCGCCGCCGGGTGGCCTGCGCCCCCGCCCCGCCCCGCGAGGCGCCCCGATGAGGCGGCAGCCACAGGTAAGCCGCACTGCCCGGCCGCCGTGTGCGCGTGCGGGACGCGGCCGAGAAACTTGGGGCGCACCGAACCCCCCTCCTCCCCGCACCCCGGCTTCAGCCTGCTCCTCGGTGTCTCCGCAGAACGGCGACCTCAAGAAGCAGCTCCACGAAAGGCAGCCTCGGATCGCAGCGCTCGGCGACAAACAAGTAAGCGAGCGGCCTGTGTACCCCTCACACCCCAGACCAGGACGCGGGAGGGGTCGCCAGGTACTTTGGCAGAACCCTAAAAAGTGCCAGCGTGGGCGCTCCCTGCTTAGACCTCCCCGGTGGTCTGGCTCCGGTCCTCAAAGTTACAGTCCTGGGCCCCCTTTCTGCAAAGAAAGAGCCGGGCGCGGCGCGGGGGTGGGTGGGGGAGCACCGGCCCCCGGCAGTGGCCGAGAAGGATGGACTGCACCTCCAAGGCGCGGGGCCGGCCTCCATCTTGAGTTGATGACCGTATTTTTAGGGACGCGGAATCCCCGGGCACCCATCGCCCGCGCCACGCCGGGTAGGAATGGGGCAGCGGGGGCGGCAGTTCGGGCCTGGACGCTGCAGGGCTCCTGGGAAGCAGTCTCTGGACCCCAAGCAAACTCCTTTTTCTAAAAGCCTTTCCTCTGAGCGCCCCCTCCCCACCACTTCGCCGGCTTCACTTTTTATTCTTGGAATCTGACGCCAGCTCTCGTGGAACAAAAGAAAGGCGCCCCCGGAACCCCCCTCTGGGTTCTGCCCTAACTTTGGTCTCTGGGCCTTAGGGGTAGAAGAGGACCCATAAGAAGCTCCCGTTATCGGAAGGTGGGGGCGCAGCCGCCGACCCCCACGCGCCCCCTCCGAGGAGGAAAAGTTGTCCATTGTGACTTAGTTGCGCTGAGCTCAGCGCTTCGTGTTTCAGCACCGCGAACAGATGCCGCGGCAGAGCCCGGCCGGTCGCGCGCCCCCGCCCCGCCTCCGCGCCCCGCCCCCCGCGCGCCCCCGCCCTCCGTGGCCGCCCCCGCCCCTCCCCCGCCGCCCGAGCGGAGAACTTTGAGCTGCGCAGCCAATAGTGAGCCCGGCTCCACGAGGTGGCGGCCGCGGGGGCGCAGGCTCCCCTCTCCGAGCCCCTGCGCCCCCCGCCCCCCCCGGCCCTGGTCAGCCACCGGGCCATCGATCGCGCTTCCTTCGGAATGCCACCGCCGCCGGCACCAAACTTGGATAGCTCGGTCGCCCCCCAGGGCGCCCCTCCCCCACTCTCCACCCCCTGGGCGGTTAGGTTTTCGGGTGCGCCCCATGAGGCTTGGAGGACATTGGCGGGGTGCCCGGGATCCCGGAGAGGGACAACTCGGAAGCCCGGGGCTCCGATCGGATCTTAAAGTTGAAAAGTGGTGGGAGGGAGCGTGTGGGAGAGGAGGGGGACCGGAAAGAAAGACGGCAGTTCCGGGGGCCCGGACCAGGTCCGGGGGCGCCTGGCTGGACGCTGGGCCCGAACGAATGCCTCCACCCCTCCGCGGTGTCTGGGCCCCCCAGCCCCGGCCGCGCGCCCCCGTCCGGGCGTGGAAGCTTCCATTCCCGCCGGAGGGGCGCCCGAGGAGTTCGGGGGAGGAGGGGCCCCGGGCCCCGCATTACCATTTTGATTGCTTCGATGCCATTTTTGGGGGGGGAGGGGATGGAAGACCCTTCTCCGCGGAGCACAAAGATGTTTAATCACTGTGCGGAATCAAATCAGATACTTTCTTTGAAAAAAAAACCACATCACCAAATCTGGTACAGTGAGGTCGCTGAGGTTGTACGGAGCCGATTTTCCACTGGGTGAAGCGGCAAGTTGCAGACTCAGGCTCCGAGTAGAGGAGGGACGCGGAGAGAGACGGCGAGACGGCAGTAAACGGGCAGCTCTCCTTGCAAAAATGTATTTCCGTGTTAGTCCGAACGTGCACTAGTTTCCCTGTTCCGAGTGACTGAGTGGAGCTCAGCTTTGATCGTGGCTTCTGTATGGTCACAACTGTTTCCAGGCTGCTTAAATTTTTATGATGATGGGAAATGAGTAGCTATTTATTATCCGACACGCAGGAATTTAGAGAAGGCTAGAACGAACGTTTGAAAACCCCGTTTGAAGGTGGAAGGGAAGCATCCCCGCACCCGGAGCCGGAGGCTGCCTTTGCCTTTAAATCTGAACTCGAGGGAGGCTGGCTGCAGAGGAGCCTGCCTCCATCTTTGTGTGTGTGTGTGTGTGTGTGTGTGTGTGTGTGTGTGTGTGTGTGTGTTAGAGAGGGAGAAAGAGTTTAACAGAAAAGAAACAAAACTTTGGTCCTCCGGTCTTTTAAAATATATTTCTCCTTTAGATGCCTAAAAATAGCACCTGGTCTGCAGCCAGGGTTTGGCAGGCCGTCGGAACTTGTTTGTAACTGGAAGTGTGTTGCCTTTCCGGCTCCCTTTGTGGCATTTTATACAACAAGGGCTCATAAAAGCGGGAAGGGAGGGGGCTGAGGCCGGGTTCAGCATGCTAATCAAGCCGCCTGGCTCTTCCCAGCGGCGCGGAGATCGCTCAGGGATGGCGGGGTGGGCTGAGCACACCCCTCTGTCTCCCCTCGTGTGGTGGCTGGAGAAAGGTCAGTCAGCAGGCATGGAGGTGACTGGGCAGAACTGGAATGTGAAGAGGCTGTGTTGGGACACCCCAAAACTTGCCCAGAGGAGCCAGACTGGAGAGAGTGGGACTGAAAAACCTGGTGTGTCAGAGTTTCTTTTTTAAATGTAACAGACTATGAAAAGATGATGATTCCCTTACAGGATTACTTGGGGAGAAGTCTTAGCATCTCCGCCTCCAGGATGTGCGTGCGTGCGTGTATGCGTGCTACCCCCATTTATATCACATGTAAAGGTTAAGTCTCAGTTAAAAAGTACACATGCGGGTGGTGAACGAGATCGGCAGTGAAATGAATGGGTGACCCCGTTGTCCACGTTGGTTAGAAGTAGGGCAGTGGTGGTCCGGTCTTCAGGGCCCAGCCTCGCATTTCCCATGCATGCCCTGGGCGGCACCGGAATTTTGTTACCTTTAGAAACAGCTGTAAGAGTTTAAAGGACTTGGAGAAGTAGAGGGTGTTGGTCAGAAGTAGGTGGCTAAGTTCTGCGCCTGGCTTCTCTCCCATCATGGGGGGCTCCGGGTTAAACACAGAACTACCCCTGACACCTTGCTGTTGGAAAGGGAGGGTTCACGTTTTTCTCTTGAAAAATGTGGGGTGGGGCTTAGATCACAGCTGAGTTGTGGCCCCTGGGGACCGCCCAGGCTGGGACCCTCCTTTCTGACAAGGTACGATGTGTGGAGACCCCATTAGGTGCTCCAGTGGTTTTGCAGCACATGCAGAGAGGCAGTAACGTTTTTATCTAAATTGTCAAGCGACAAGCACTTCTGTGTAAATAACAGACCCATCATAAATATATCTCTTCCCTCAGTGCTCCAGGCCTGACGCCTCGAGTGTCCTACCTGGACAGCACCTGGAAGAACCCGCCTTTGGAGTCCTGTCCCTGCCTCTGCAGACTCACTGGGGAGTCCTCAGGGGTGAACTCAGGGCCTCGAGTGCTGCCCAGTCTGGCCCTTTGATGGACTCTGGATTCCGAGAGGCCATCTTCAGGAGCGGCCATAAAAATCCGTCTTCTTGAAGGACGTTATGTATGTGGCCCTTGGCCTGTCCCCATGTGTGATTCACTGGCCGCTCAGAGCCAGGAGGGACCCGCCCCCACCCACAGGTGGCCTCTCCCAAGCCTCTTGGCAGTCCTCCCCATCTGGAGTCCCACCCTGCTGGAAGCAGCACTGTTTACTGGTTCCAGAGCAAAACTGTGCCGACTCCCAAAGCCCCACGTTTGTCTCCGTGGGAGGGAGAGAGGGGCTGGACCCTGTTGGTCCCACTCGAGCCTCCACCAGAGGACAGCACAACTATATCACAGTTCCGTCCGTGCACACTGCATGCCTGGCACCCCGGCCTCCTCCTTCTGTCTTAGGACATTTTCTTCACCTCTGAAAGAAACCGTGTGGCTGTCACCACTCCCACCCCCACCCTCCAGAGGTGCTGTGCTGAACTTGGCCCTGAGCAGACTCCACGCTGTTGGCACGCATCCTTCTGTGACTGCATGTGGGGTTCCCAAGTGACCCGAACTGCATGGGGCGTCGATACTGATGCGACGCAGGGCACTCCAGTAGTGGATGTGTAAGGATGGAGCGCTTTGTTTAACCCTTCACGTCCTGACGGGAGGTGCATCGGCTCAGGGTTTGGCCCTTAGGAGCAGGGGAGGTGTCTCTTTTGCTACCTCTTTACCAGAGTGTTTTAACATTGGAGCCCTTAGTGCACAACCTCTTGGTGGCTCCCCACTATTTGTCATTTACTGGGGCGCGGGGTCATCTCATGCCGTACCTGACCGTGTGGGCCCTGGAGCAGGGGCTCCTCCACCACCCTGAGCATTCCCGTGTCTCCAGGAGTAAAGGCATTGTCTGTCTTGATCGGTCACATTGGTGGCTATTTTTTGTTGCTTTATCCAGGGGCGGCAAACCTGCGGTACCCAGGCTGCAGCAGGCTGTTTGTGTTGTAGAAAGCTCTAGAAGGTTCGTCATCATTGTGCTGCACATGAGCTCCATGCCAGGCGTCTGCTCAGCTCCCCTTTCCTGTGTTCTCAGAACAAGGGGGCTGTGAGGATGAGCGGTGATGGTCTGGTCCTAGGGGACCCCTAGCCATGCAGGCCCGAAGTGAACGTAGCTTTGCAGAACCGTGTCTTTGCCCAGAGACCGCCAGGACCAGCCCTTTGCTTTCGCAGATCTCACAGAGAGGGAGGTGGGGGCAGAACTTCAGGCAAGGGCTGTGGAGGTGGCACCTTCTGGGTGGTGACACCCAAAGGGTGTCTGTATTGTTTCTGGCTTGGATGTGGCCTCAGGGCTCCGGGGAATGGTCAGGCAGAGCTGGGAGGAAATCCTAAAGGCTGGAGGCAGGGGTGGGAAGGGGAGTGACGGGCTGCATGTGTCCTGCCTGGCAGAAGCCTTCAGGGCATGCTGGAAAGCGTGGGCCGTGGTGGAGAGCAGGTTCCCAGGGTGGATGTTTGTCAGCTGGGCCCAGGGCTCTGGTAGGGACAGTGGGCCTAATGCGGGACTTGGGGAGGGGAGGCTGGAGGTGACCGACACATCAAGAGCACAGGGACAGGGCTGGGGATTTAGC